TCTATCTATCTATCTATCTATCTATCTATCTATCTATCTATCTATCTGGTTATTGAGGCCTGAACAGAACCGGTTTCCTCTCCTTTCAGGTCTACTCGCCGCTATCAGAGGGGGAGTTCCAGCTCCTCAGACAGACGCTGCTCATCTTTTTCCAGGACCTTCACATTCGCGTGAGCCTCATCCCTCCTTCCGATCGTCAGTCTGAGGCCCTCCTGTAACTCCCTGTGTGGCGGCAGGTGTCCCTGTTCCTGAAGAACCAGACCCAGACCCCCACCGGGCGCTTCGTCCTGCCGGTTGCCGGCCCCGTTCCCCACGGCGTGGACGTCCCCGGGCTCATACGGTACCTCCACCACCCCCCCTTCAGAGGTCAGAGGTCACAAACGCTGCATCGTCTGCTCGCTGATTTCAGGGTGTTTGACGCTCGGGGCCGAGAGCTGAGGCGCCGGGAGTTTCCGAGCGGGGGCAGCTACAGCAGCCCCGTGAGGGGGGGCTCCTTCGACCTGCGCGGGGACCGGAGCACCAGCCTGGGCCGGAACATGTGAGTCAGCCACCGCCGCCCAGCCTGACACCACCAATCTAATACCGTTGTCCTGTGCTTCCCCCCCACAAAGCTTCAGCCTGCAGCATCCGGAGGAGACGCGAACGTGCAAAGCACCGCGCACTCAGGTAGCTCCGCCCTCAGGTTTTAGACTTATCCTTAGACTTCCTTTATTGTCATTGCACAAAAACACAGGGTGAATCTTGACAAAGAAATTTCGATTACTTGGCTACCAGTGTAACAGAGCTAAGACCTTATTCCTGCACAATAAATATGTTTTTCTACAACTAAGCGCTAAGAGGTAGCTATATACAGGGTAAAGAAGTATATATATACATATATATTGCACTGAGTTTTTGCAAAAGAAACAGTGTATTGTCCATGTCCATGGGGGGAGGTTTTAGTGTGTGTGTGTGTGGGGGGGTGGAGGAGTGTTATGTGGCGTTAAGCAGTCTGATGGCCAGGGGGAAGAAAGTGTTCAGTAGTCTGGTCGTTCTGCAGAAGATGCTGCGGACCTTCTGCCAGAAGCCAGGGGGGAAAACAATCCATGGTTGGTGTGTTTTCCTGGGAACAATTAACCCATAAGGTTCCCCTCCTGGAGAAGCTCCTTCGATTAAATTCTGTTTTATTTCCATCGCTCCAAATCCCAAATCACAGCTTTTCAAACAGAGCAGGTCAGACTGACTCTGAGTTATTTACAGGAGACCAACAGTTCCCGCCAAAAGCAGCACTAGGAGACACAGGGAAGGAAAAACTGCCTGTAGGAGGCAGAAACCTTGAGAAAAACCAGAGAGGGGCGGGGGGAGAGAGAGAGAGAGGGAGAGAGAGGCAGCCTCCACAGTAACACACACAGACAAGTAAAGCTGGTGTTGCTATAGGCTGGATGAAAAGTGTTAGATATCGATAATAAAGTTAATGATAATGATAACAGTAATAATAGCAATAGGACCAGGGAAGTGATAGGAGGAGAGAGGAGAGGGATGAGGAGGAACACAACTAGGGAAAAGGGAGGACGTCCAGTTAGTAACAAGCATTAATAGGATGAGGAGCAGCACCTTCTGCAGGATCCTGCCTGCAGCCTCACCTGCTTCTTCTGCCCCCAGCAGCCCAACGACACCCCCAACCCGCTGGCCAAGGAGGAGCTGAACCTGCTGGCCCGGCTGATGGGCAGCGTGGGGGCCGGCCCGGCGGCAGGAGGGGAGGCCGGCTTCCGCCTCAGCCTGTTCCCCACAGAGCAGGAGGAGCAGGAGGCGTGGGTGCTTTTCCTTTCTGTGTCTCGTTCGGCCGCTCGGCTTCGAACCCCAAACAAAGCTGTTTTGTGTTGTGGAACAGGGGCGCCGCAGGCGGGGGCCAGCTGGACGTGGTCAGCATCCAGGCCATGCAGGTGAGAGGGTGCCCAACCATGAGTCTGCTGTTTATGTTTCTGCATTTAGATGCTTTTATTTAGACAGCTTTAAAGCTGTTTTTTGGGGCCTTTCCATCTGTTTTGGGGGGATTTAAAGCTGTTTTGTGGCTTCTAAAGCTGAATTTTGGGGGCTTTAAAACTGTTTTGTGGCTTTTAAAGCTGTTTTGGGGGCTTTTAAAGGTGTTTTGGGGGGCTTCAAGGCAGTGTTTTAGCTTTTAAAGCTGTATTTTGGGGGCTTTAAAAGCTGTTTTAGGGCTTTAAACCTGATTTTTGGGGTTTTTAAAGGTGTTTTTTGGGGCTTTAAAGCTGTTTTGTGGATTTTAAAGCTGTCTTGGGGGCTTTTAAAGCTGTTTTTTGGGGCTTCAAAACTGTTTTGGGGGGCTTTTAAATGTGTTATTTGGGTTTTTTATGTTTATGTTTGTGCATTTGGAGGCTTTTATCCAAAGTGACTTACAAAGTAGACACAAAGTTCCAGTTTTCATCAGTCTGACAGTCATTTCTCTGGAGGAAAATCCCCAGTCAGTCAGAGGAGACAGAAGGAGATAGAGGGAAGCCCAGAAAGGGGTGTAGAGGGTCCAGAGGTCTGGGGAGGAGTTAGGATAGGAGCTGCTCTGTGAGGAGGGGGGTCTGTAGGAGTATCCTGAGGTATGGAAGTCTGGATTGTCTTAACGTGGTGCAGCTCTGCTAGACCACAATCCACTGATGACCGGAGGGACCCAGTTGTGACATGAGCTGTGTGTCACAGGATGAGCAGGCAGCCAATGAGCTGGCTCGAATCGCTGGACAGTTTGCAGAGGAAGAGGAGCCGCCTGCAGGCGGCGGCAGCAGCAAAGGAGACGACCTGCTGGCCCTGATGGACGGCCTCTGAACCCACAGAGTCACATGACCCCAGTTCTCCATCTGCGCTGTCTGTGGACGTTTGCTCTGAGAAAAGGCAGAATATTGAGCTCTACAGATGAGAAGACGGTAGAACTCAGACTTGAACAGACATAAAATCAGCCTTTGAGTCAGAAACATTAAGTCGAACATTACTGTATGCTCTCAATAAAGGAGCAGTTCTCATCTCCATGTTATGATGGTTTTTCTTTGAATTCACAGCAGCAGTAAACTCAGCCCTCTTTTCTTTAACCTCCAAAGACATAATTTGTTCCATTTCTGAAGCTGATGGATGAAAAAGGCCAAAGAAAACCTAGTCTGACAGACAGGTAACAGGATTTCTGAGGATTCCCAAAGAGCTGCTGGCTGAAAATTGGGCAGATCTCAGCCTGGTGAGCAGTGAAAACATCTGAGTGGAGGACAATAAAGAAGAGCTTGGTCTAAAAAAATCTGTGATCCAGCAGATGAAGAGGATCCGAAAGTGAGAGAGGAACAGCTCCAGCAGGGAGCTGAAAAGGAGCGGGAGGTTTAAAGTCCAGTTTAGTCAAATAAAACAGGTTTTTCTAAACTTGATTCTTTATTTCATTGCAGCCAAAAAGATTTTGATGGAACTATTCTAAAGTTTCTCCTGTTTCTGTAATCGGTGATGTTTTGTAACCTGTTTAAGCGTTAAACTGTAACTGTGGAGAAAACCAGATGCAGAAATACAGATCGGTTCTTCGGGTTTCACCATTCAGGGCTCTGGTTTCTGCTCAGGCTCCAGCAGCAGGTGGCGCTGTCGCCTGTTGCTCTGAGGGAAGAAAAGCTGCTCAACGACACGAAAACCAACAGGGTTAAAAAAGGGCTCATTTCATGAATTACTGTGTCTTTGAAGTTTTATTGGTGATACTTCAAAAAACGCATTATATCAAGTAAGAAACTTATGGGTAGTTTGTTAATCCCAAACCAGATTTAATTTTTAATGACATTTAAAACTCTTTTATGAATGAACTTAAGTAAAAGAGAAACAAATGTAAAGATGTATTTCCTCAAACAAGATGAATTATTTAATATAATTAATTAACTTATCTAATTTGAGTAATTTCTACGCTGTTTGGAACTTTTTTGTCATTTAAACGTTATTACCAACGTTTTTAATACTTTCTAACCACCGTAAATGTTTGTCGTAAAGTGTCGTATAAAATCAGACATCGTGACGTCTTGGCGTGACGTCACCACGCAGCAGCGTCAGGACACACGCGTTGGAACCGAGCAGCGGAGCACTTCCGGCTTTGGCGCGTCTTTCCCACACGGTGCTGGTGTTGGACAGGTTGAGGTAAATGTTCCGAACCGCCTCGCGGCACAAATGAGAAGTTTGCACAGTTAAACCGAGCAGAAACTCAGGAGTTTGGACCGGAACCGAACTAAAAAAAACTTCTGTTTGAAGCTAAGGAAAACGGGGCTCAGAGTTCCTGTTTTAGAGGCGCTTTTTCTCTCACAGAAACACAGAAAGCGGCTCAGACGTCAGTTTCCCATCAGCCTGATGGAGGCAGAGAGCTGAGGAGGTCCATCAGGTGTGATCAGGTCCAGTCTGACCCATCAGGTCTAAGAAGGTCAGTCACACAGAGAGCACCTCAGAGAGAAAGAGTCTCACCAATTAAACAGGAAAACAGCTGATTCAGATCATGATTAACTTTCCTCGTCCCCCCCC